AATTAAAGAAAAGTCTACCCTTTGTTCTCGAAAGAGACGACCTTCTGGACAGAGCAAGCCATTGTGCCGTTACAGACTTGTTGATTCGGAGGGTCAGATCAAGAATCAGGTCATTGGCTCGCATTGCAAGTGCATGCTATTGTTTGATTGGTTCCTATGTGTTTGATGTCACTGAGGCTCCTGATTATTTTTCTCCTAAAACTCACAGGATGTTAGTTTTCAACGGGGTTTTAAACAGTGGACGAGGAGAGACTAACCAAGAAGTAAAAACATGTTTTGTTTCTTCCGGTCAAACCTGTTCCACAAGGGCGGCGAACTCGGTCGGTATTCTTTAGATTGCGAGTCGAGCGTCCTAACCACCTGGCCATGCGGGCCACTTGTGAAGGACTAAACTCTAAAGACAATTCAAAGTGCCAGCGTTGTAAATAAAATAACATAGATATACGTATTCAGGTATGAGCTAAAATAGATGTGCAATAGTTTCTACCATAATAGTTTGATAGTTATTTGGTCATAATGTCTTTATGCATTACTTGTTACTGACGTTCATACAATTTAGACATAAATTTCATGAACACGTGTGTAGTTTATCTTTAATCTACATAATAAACTTTCTGCGAATAATAAAATATTACTACTCTACAAAAAAAAGGTATTGCTTGTAGATTCTACTGCACTTCATTTGTTGATCTGAATCATAAAGGATTTAAAATTTTGTGTATTTGAAATTCAGTTACAGGACTTTTACTAATACGTTTTATTAATGTTTTTTTCTTATTTGGTAAATAAGGAAAATATATCCATACATTTAGAATCGATTAACAAGGTAAAAAATAGCACATCGCAATCACTTTGCGAGTCTGTTTACCATGTAGTACACTGAGTTAATGTAAGAGCAAGCTATGCAAGGGTTCATAAGAAAACAAGCTAACTGTTTAAGTGTATTTGTTTAGCGCATTTTCACTAGATCTGTATGCTTGTGTAAATTGTAATAAGCACATGCCAGAAAACAGTACATAATTTAAGAGTACTCGTTGTAAAGAATGTTAGAGGTTAGAACTTTAGAGGATAACAGTGTTACCATGCAATTTTACTTGTAGCATTTCAGGAAATTATAATTAGTTGTAGTGCCTGCAACACATAAGTATAGATAAGCTTGTATATACATTTTTCAAATGCTCTTTTTTAGTTGTCCAGAAACATGTTCAGAACTAGACATCGTTGTAGTTACAGACGTTATTGGCTAACTCTGGTATATTTGTTGCTCCTTTTTTAGCTTGTAGTTGTTTTTATGTATCATTCATAATTTTTTATAGATTAAAGTCTATAATAATTTTGTGATGAAGTTATTACGTTTACTGATTAAATCTTGTAATCTCCCATTCATGAATTTTAGTTTACCTTGCAACATATGTATAATAGCACACCAAGTTTGTTTGTTTGAATATCGCGCAAAGCTACACGGGGATTATCTGCGCTAGCTGTCCCTAATTTAGCAGTGAAAGATAAGAGAGAAAGCAACTAGTCATCACCACCCACCACCAACTCTTGGGCAACTCTTTTACCAACGAATAGTGGGATTGACAGTTACATTATAACGCCCACACGGCTGAAAGGGCGAGTATGTTTGGTGAGACCGGGATTCTAACCCTCGAGCCGCAGATTGCGAGTCGAGCGTCCTAACCACCTAGCTATGCAGGGCCGAACACGCCGAGGAATGTTCGTTTCAGTCATATTTTATTTTTATTGGGTCTGTACGTAGAAAATCATGACACTTAGTACAACGGTTCTCGAACTTTAGTAACCCAAAGACCCCTTTTAATTTACATTTTTTTCTCGGGTCCCCAAATCTATCGATGTTTTTTAGTTTGAAAAAAAAAATCCGAGTACATGAAAAGCTGGATTACAAAATTAATTATTTAATTCATATAAATTTAATTTTACGAAAACTATTTTTTATTCTATAAATCATACATTTTAAAATATTTCTATGAAATTTCAGGAAAGAGTTCCATATGGCACCCCCCACCCAAAAATTGTACAAACCTTATAGAGAATCGGTGGTGGTGTGTCAAAAGACAACTACCAACTACACATACCAGGGCAAAGACATTTGACAAGCATATGTGTGAATACATGTGGAGAACATTATATTCTGATAAAAGTAGCCTTTTTGATGCATTTTATACAAGACATTTGTAAAGTGTATCCCCAAGAAGATTGT